GAAGTGCTGTTAAAACATAGTTAAATGATCTGGAGTAGGGCTCAACGATTAATCGATTTTAAATTGAAATTTGAAATGATGCGATTATCAAATTGCAAAGCCTGCGATTTCTTTTAACATTTAAAAAAAAAAAAAAAAGTCTTTTTTTTCCTTTGTGTGATTCATCCACACCAATCAGAAGTGCTGTGCTCCACCTACCAGTCATTTTTAACCAATCAGAAGTGCTGTGCTCCACATACCAGCCGTTTTTAACCAATCAGAAGTGGCCCATGATAGAAGGTGATAGACAGATTGATCCAATCACCTGTCAAGTATTTTTAAAACCCTTTTCCAAATGCCTTCCAATGGAGCTCTCCTAGATGGTTTGGTGAAACCATCTGAGTCAGGTTACTAATGCTCCATCACATGTTTCTATTACAGGGTGAGTCTTAAACTGAAGCTTGACTTTAAAGCAACCCAACGGAAGTTTCATGTAAGTTTAGTTCTTTCACTCGTAGCTCGGGCTGCGGGGGTGCTAGAGACGGGAGCACGTTGATGCGACCTTCCTAACCGGAGATATGGCCGCCTTTTACAATAAACTTCCGTTGGGTCGCTTAAAAACAAATATCGCAAATCGAATCGCAATATCTGTCAGAAAAATCGTACAGAGCAGAATCTCTGACATATTGGGGTCGCAGTCCATTTAGAGCTTTATAAGTTAAAAGTTGAAGTCTATGCTTTGACTGATTGGTAGCTAGTGCAGAGCTCTGGGGTGTTGTGTTCATTTCTTCTCAAAACTCTTCCTGTTAAAGTTTTTTAAAGTAGGAACATGGATGGGGTATTCCCAGTGCAGATTTAGAGCACCTACCAGGAAGTTGTACGGGGAGAAGTGGTTCCAGGCCAGACGCTCCACCTGCCCGCTGAACCTCCAGGTCCGGTTGCTGTTGTCTGGACTCCGGCAGTCGTACAGAACAGCCGTCCTGAAAAGAGAACATTTTTGTAACTCATCGTGAAGGAGAATCTGTTTATCTCCTATCGCCTCATTCTACAAATGAATGATAATATGGAGCGTTTCCACTACAGGGTGTTAGCGCGGCTCGGGTTGCTCTTTTTTGCTTTTCCACTAGGGGTAGTAGCGGCTCACTGGTACTTTTTTTTTTAACCACCTCAGTCGAGGTTCCAAGCGAACTGAAAATAGGCTTCGCTAGTGACGTAAAACACGGACGACCGCTGATTGGTCAGAGAGATTCGTCACAATTCTTGCGCGAGACATTCCCCAGGCGTCGCATAAGCACCATTTTTTAAAACAGACGTGCTACCGTCAGCAAGTATTTCAAATTTCAACAAAGTATTTTTTTTTTTTTACAAGTCTTTTTATTTCATTATAGTGTACAGTAATCGATGCCATTTCATTTATATTGTAGTATCACAGTACACTCGCTACACTCCCCTCTCCCTCCCTCCCTCCACCCGCACATGCCCACACGGGCGAAACCAAAAAAATGCTTATCATTATAACTTAATGTTTATAACAAAGTATTTTTAACAAGGTACGAGGTACAGACTTTCCAGCAGTGTAGAGAAAAACAAAAAAAACTGAAGAGTGCTTATAGAGCCATCAAGGGCCACAACGGCCGGAGTGGTTCCAGTAGGAAAGCATGCCTACACTGCGTGGTTACTATAGTTACTGCCCTCGTTACTAACGGTAATGGAAACGCAGCTTAAAGTGATCCGAACCAAGCCGCGCTAAAACCTGTAGTGGAAATGCGGCTATAGATCACACTTACTTATCATAAGAGCCTGATATCAGAGTCTGGGCCTCAAATGGATGGAATGATAACGTCTGAACCTAAAGGATGGAAAAGGAAGTGGAAATGATTGTGATGTAATGACAGATAATCACTTTGAAGTACATCCGTTATAATTATTTCTCCATTTTGAATACCTTATCAGTGTGCCTGCGCAGAGTAGTGGCTGGTTTGCCTTGAGTGAGATCCCACAACACCACGGTGTCGTCAGCTGACCCACTGGCCAGCACATTTCTAACGGAGAGAAGGGTTGTTTCACAGATGAGTTTACATATACACTGTCCCATATATAAAACCTTGTATAAAGAGTCTAATTACGTGTATATTTGATAAGCATAAGGTGCAATTTTTGTTATTAGGTTGTTAGAGCCATCTTCACTGTACATTGATATATTCAGTCTAATATTTAATATTCCATTCACAGGAAGTGAAATAGAGGGATATGGGAATGGGTGATCTGTTTGGTATTTTGAGCGAAACACTTCATAGACATGTTTTTTATATATATCTGAGACCTATGCTATTGCCTACAAATAGCATGATAGGTGACCTTTAAGGAAACGGACTAAAACGCCACAACACAAATACTATAAGCACAATACTGACCGGAGCAGTTTGTTCCAGGATAAATCCAGCACTGCGTCTGTGTGGCCCTCCAAAGGCTCTGCTGCTGCCCCCCCCTGGCATCAAGGAGAACAATGTGTTAATGACATCCAGCAAAGCATGGAGAACAATGTCTACTACTAATGGGGTCAAACATTTAAAAGATAAATAGTCAAAAAATCCTAAAGAAATATAAAAATAATTCAATTTTGAAATGTTTTCTATTTAAAAAACTACATTTTTTAAATAAACATGCCTGTAAATATAAAACTGTTGTGCAATACCTCTTCTCATGTGCAATATACACTTAAATTCAATTAATAATAATAATAATAATAATAAAAAAGCAGAAAATAATGCGAGAGCTGGGAGAAAAACGTCCACTACTGATGGGGTAATAAATAGTCCACATATCCTAAAAAAACATAAACAAATCCTTCAATTTCCAACAGTTTTCATTATAAAAAACAAAATGTTTGCAATAAAAATGCCTGCAGTACCTCCCTACATGTGCACTATACACTTATGTGCAATTAATGCTGTAACGGCATAGATTTCCCCGCTGCGGGACAAATAAAGGATTTCTGAACAAACCCCTTTTTTCTAATAATTCCAGTCAGAAAGATGACGCTGTTATTCAAGGTCTCACAGTTTTTGAACAACAGCTCCCACTTTCACCATACAGAAGCTAGCAAAGGACAGTGTAACATGTAAACACCTTCTTGCTCTTCTTTTTCTTCTTGGCGGCCTTTTTGGTCCCCAGGGAGAAGGCGGGCTCTAAGCAGTCGACAACATCCAGGTCCCACACATCGATTTGGGGGGTCATGTTCCCCACAGCGGCGTAGTTACCTGACACACAGAGCACAGCAAGGTAAGGAAACAAACACAACTCCTTATATCCGTTAGCGTAGCTCGCTAGCACCAGAAGCTAACAACAACGGTACCGGTGTGCTCTCTCTCTCTTCCACACACAAAATGGCTCGTTTCACACACACACACAGAGCCGAGCTTTAAATCTTTTTATTTATTTTTAATAACCATTTTTCCTCCTGGTCTCTCGCGCCCCCCCTGTCATACCTCTGCGCCCCCCTACTTTGGGAACCACTGTCCTAGAGCACTATTGTGTTCTTTGTAACCAAATCTCTCTCAGAGGGGCGTGGGGAGGGGCTCCTTAGTTTCATCTAAAGTAACAGAAAGAGAATGGGTAATGCTGCAATGATCTGCTTGGTTTTTCAGCCAATCAGAGACAGGCTCT